TGAAGGTAAACGTGTCCATAGATCAGCTGCAGCTTGGACCAAACCTTCATCCCGTCTCAGACTCGGGCTGAAGGCAGAACATGTGCATCATGAACTCACCTTGAAGTGAACCCGGAGGTTGGAGCCCCTCGACTTGCATGCTGAAACACACAAACAAAGCAAAGGTGTGAACACGGTGAAGGCCGCCAGGTCCTCAGAGAGGCTCCTGCTCTGGCAGCTCAGTTCTTTCATTGTTTGTTTTCATGGTTAATCCAAAGGTGTCCTAAGAAGTCATCACAGCGGCCGGATAGCCGTCTAACTGCCGGCTTTCCTCCGGCTCTACTCACATTTAGTCGGGTTCTCGGGGTCGAGAGAGTAGCGGACCATTTTCAGATATCTGTCGGAGGAGAAACTGGTCAGTGTTTCACAGCAAACAGTCTAAACGTGAGTCCTCATGACTGTTAGCCGCGCTAGCTAGCTGCGGTAGCTAGCCGCAGTCTGGTTCTGTAAATTACTGGTCAGAACATTACGGAGAACCATCATTTAACGTTAGAAACCAGCAGGAACAGCTTTACACTTAGAGAAGGACAGAAACAGCCGCTGCAGCTCAGTTTAAGGCTCATCTGGTTGACTTTCTACCGACACAAGCAGCCAACATGGCGGACACTAGCAAACCGGCATCTCCACCAAAACTTCAATAAATACACATTAAAAGCCTCAAAACTCAGAAATCTAACAGAACCTGACGTTTACACACATAATCTACAACCTGCTGCCGGTTTAAAAGCAGGATGGAGCAGATTCAGCTGAGATTAAAGAAGGATTGTATCTCCGCCAGCAGCACGGAGCTCCTACCTCTGAGGCCGCGGAGGGAAGAGGGAGCAGCCGGGCAGCGCTGCTCCTCTTCAGCCTCCAGAGCCGGCAGCGGCCCCTGGCGGCCCGGAGGGGAACTGCAGGGCGGTGCCGAGGGTGGAACGGACAGCAGGGGGCGCTGCTGCACATCCACATATTATATTATATTATATTATATTATATTATATTATATTATATTATATTATATTATA